AATTAGATTGTTATTTTAATGTTGTGTGAGTTCTTTATATATTGTAAGTACTAGTTCTTTGTTGGATATATTGTTTATAAATATTCTCTTCCAGTCTATAGCTGTTTTTTCATCCTCTTCACATAGACTTTAACAGAGCAAAACTTTAAAAATTTTTGATGTGGTCCAATTTATCAATTTTTTCCTTTATGGCTCTTGTTTTATTGCTGTTTGTTTTTTAATTAATTTTTTTTTTTTGAGACAGAGTCTTACTCTGTTTCCCCAGGCTGGAATGCTGTGGCATCATAGCTCACAGCAACCTCAAATTCCTAGGCTCAAGTGAGCCTCTTAGAACTACAGGCACCTGCCACAACCCCTGACTATTTTTTCTATTTTTAGTAGAGACAGGGTCTCTTGCTCAGGCTGGTCTTGAACTCCTGCAATCCCTACTCAGCCTCCCAAAGTGGTAGGATTATAGTCGTGAGGCACTGTGCCTGGCCAACACTTGCTTTTGGCGTCAAGTGTAAGAACTCTTTGCCTCTCTCTAGATTCTGAAGATTTTCTTTTTTTTTTTTTTTCTAAAAAGGCCTGGGAGGTTTATTGTTTGTTTTGTTTTTTCCTTATTTCACATGAATTGTTTGCTTTTTTTTTTTTTAGAGACAGAATCTCACTTTATCATCCTCAGTAGACTGCTGGGGCATCATAGCACACAGCAACCTCCAACTTCTGGGCTTAAGCGATTCTCTTGCCTCAGCCTGCCAAGTAGCTGGGACTACAGGCACCCATCACAACACCCAGCTATTTTTTGGTTGCAATTTGGCCAGGGCCGGGTTTAACCCACCACCCTAGGTATATGGGGCTTGCGCCCAACCCACTGAGTCACAGGTGCTACCCAGGCCCAGCTATTTTTTGTTGCAGTTTGCATGGGGCCAGGTTTGAACCCCTCACCCTCAGTATACAGGGCCGATGCCCTACCCACTGAACAAGAGGCACCACCCAGAATTGTTTGCTTTTGAAAGGTCCTGGGCTTTTTTTTTTTTTAGAGACAGAGTCTCACTTTGTCACCCTTGGAAGAGTGCTTGTCGCATCACAGCTCACAGCAACCCCTAGCTCTTGGGCTTAGGTGATCCTCTTGCTCAGCCTCCGGAGTAGCTGGGACTATGGGTCCCTGCCACAATGCCCAGCTACTTTTTTTTTAATTGCAGTTTGGCCGGGGCCAGGTTTGAACCCGCCACCCTTGGTGTATGGGGCCAGCGCTCTACTCACTGAGCCACAGGCACCACCCCCAGGCCCTGGACTTTTAATCTCCATTGTGTCAGCTTGCTTTATGAGGAATGAGAGGTAAGGCTGTCAGCTTCCAACATTCTTAGAGCTTTTATTCTGTTTGGAGACTACCATGGGCTGTTTAAGGCAGGAAGTTCTAAAAGAGGAGGTTGTTAAAGATATAACAGGCTCTATGCTGAAGATTCAGCTTCAGGGATCTGAGATAGAGCCAGACCCTACGTTTTATCTGGGAATGTGCTGTCAGCCATTGCTCATACCTCCAACCCAGCCAAGCTTGAACGCTTTATGTCTGCAATAGGGGAAGCTAAGTGGCTGGGGAGGGCATGCTTCTGTGGGCAGAAGCCAAGCTTGAAGGCATAGAGATACTCTTGGGAGAGATTCCTGCCAAAGTCTGGAGGCCTAAGAGGTAGTCTTTTTCTGCCTGGGTATAGAAGGCTCTCTGGCCCCAACTTAGCCAAAGCAAATACTCTGGGGACAGGCTTTCTGTCCCTATCCATTGATTTAACAGCAAACATTTATTGAGTTCAGTTCCAAGCATTGTTCTCAGTGCTTGAGTTACAGAAGTGAGCAAAGCAGACAATAATCTTTGCCCACATATTTATGTTATAATGGCGGGCATCAGAAGACAGACAACATCATAATACATAATCATATAGTGTGTTAGGAGATGAAAAATGAAGAATTGGGGAGATGGGACTACTGGTATAGTGCTCAATGAAAGCCTCTCAAGAAGGAGGTGAGAGGAAACTATGTGGACAGCAGAAGGAACAGGTGGTACTAAGGCCTGAGGTGGGAAAACTTGGCATATCTGAGGAGCAGTGGAGAGACTAGAAAATCTGCAGGTAACAGAGGACAATATCATGTGGGTCTCACAGACATTATGATGACTTTGCTGTTACAAACAAGAAAAACTGTTGTGGATTTTAAACTATATGTAATCTGATTTATGTACTAACAATTATTCTGGCTGCTAAGAGGACAAGAGACTAGAGGGGCAAGTTTGAAAGGGATAGCAGGCAGAAAATTCTTTCAGTGGGGAAAGTGGCTTGGACATGCTGAGGAGGGCCTATAGTGAGCATGGTGAGGAGGGGTCTGATCCTGGGTACATTTTGATGGAAATATCAACACGATTTCCTGGCACATTCAATATGTGTGGGTATGAGAAAAAAGAATCAAGGGGACACAAGGTGTTTGGCAAGATCTAGCTGCCATGGCCTGGACTGATGAGGCTATACGCAAGAGTGAGTTTGATGGCCAGTGGCTCATTCCTATAATCCTAGCACTCTGGAAGGCTGAGTCAGGTAGATTGCCTGAGTTCACAGGTTCAAGACCAGTATGAGCCAGAGTGAGACTTTGTCTCTAAAAATAGCCAGGTGTTGTGGTGGGCAATAGTCCCAGCTACTTGGAGGCCAAGGCAAGAGAATTGCTTGAGTCCAAGAACTTGAGGTTGCTGTGAGCTATGACGCAATCGCACTCTACTGAAGACAATAAAATAACACTCAGTCTCAAAAAAAAAAAAGAGAGAGTTTGGGGGGTTGCTATTCCACAGTGAGTCTGTAGTTCAGTGAGAGAGCTTGAACTAGAGATACAAATCTCAGATTCCAGATGGCATTTAGGGCCAAGACCCTGGGTATCCTGATGAGAGAATAAGTGTGGACAGAGGGCACGAGAGGACTGAAGTCTTGAGCAATTTAAAGAGCCTAACATGAAAATCAATGAATGCTTCCCTGATGGCAGGATATCCTGGCAGCTCCCTCAGCCCCCTCCTCAATCAGTAGCCCCAGAGGCTTCCACTTCAAGGCAAGTTTTAGGATGAGATATCCCAGGAATCTGGGATATCCCAGACAAATTGCTTTAATTTGTCTTTGCCCTTTCAGTGTGCCGACAGTTTAGTAGTTCAAGGGTAGTGGCTCCTGGCAGCTTCCCTCCTTTATGGGCCCTGAGGTAATATCTAGGTGGGGTGGGGAAGGGAGTAAGCATCACTTTCCCAATTCACTTTCTTTCTCACTGTCTTTCAAGGAGCCAGCACAGCAACACTTCTTCTCCAAGCATGACAACCGCACTTCCTTCGATAAAGTGAGTGCTGAAAAGAGGAAGGAGAATGGGCAGTACCCCCAGTCTCAGTTGAAGTCAGGACAGAATAGGTGGTAGGATGGAGGGGATGAGACATTGAGGGAGGGCTCCTTACGCAGGCAGAGGAGTGACTATCTTCCCACAACCTTTCTCCTCTGAGAAACAGTCTATTTCCCAAATAGAGGCACTTCTGTGGTAGCTTCCTCCACCAACTTGCCTGACAATGTGCAAATATCCTGAGGCCACTGACTTTCTGGGTGCTTCACCCTGGAACAGAAGGCATCGCTAGGGAGGCAAGCAAGAAGGCCAGGTTATGGGGCAGGCATCACCAAGCAGACTTGAAGTTAGGAGGGGCCTGAGGAAATGCCTGGTGCCAGGACTGTGGGCCAAGGGCCCGTACCGTTGAGGAGGGCCCCTACTGCCTGCTGCAGGGAATTGGAAGGCGGAAAGACCTGGAGCGTCTGTGGCAGCGACACACCTTCCTGCGCTGGGCACCCTGTGAGAAGGAGTTTCGTCGTCAAGGACCCCTGGAATCTTCCTACCAGGCTGATTTCCGGCCAGGCTCAGGACTCACTGGCCTCCCCCAGCGCCTCGTCCACTTTGTGCAGGTCCAGCCTCCCCGTGCCAGCACCACGTACCAGCAAAACTTCTGCCAACCATCCCGGGGTGGCCACTGTGGTAGTGACAAGGTAGGGCCCCAGGCACCAGTCACGGACACACTGCCTGACCTCCCAGGGATCCCAAGACCCAAGCTGCTACAGCACTACCTTCATGCTGGGGTCTCTGAGTGTCTAAACTGGTCCAGAACATTAAACAGGGACAGCTGACACAGCAGCCTATCTACACTTGCAGAGGTCTCAGAAGCTGGAGAGCAGTTGTGTGCTGCCAGGCCCTGTGCCTGGCTCCCATGGCACTTGTGCCTATGGTGTCTGTGTGCTGGGCATGGGGGATGCTGTCCTGGGAGCCCTGACAATGAATGAGAAAGGATAAGAACTGCAGAAGGCTAAGAGTCCCAGAGAGTTTCCATGGCCACAGCAGATGGATTCCAGGGTCCCAAATACATTTCTGTTCTTGTAGCAAACCCAGCTGTGAGCTCCTTGTACTCAGTGTAGCTGCAGTGAAAGCAGAGCCAAAGGTCCCTAGAAGTGGGCAGAAAGGCTGGAAGAGGACAAGGATTGGCAGTTTCCTTCAAGAAGCTGCGTTCCTGAAGGGATTTGGTGGGTGCTCACACAGTCCTGCTCAAGAAATGGCTGCCCCATATCTGGGATAGTGGGAGACTTCCCTGGCCATAGCATCCACTGTATTACCCCTCCCTATGAGGATGAGCAGAGACCTTGAGGAGATACTATGTGACTCACACCTGGAAACTAACTTAACACTGTGGTCCTTGTTTTTGTTGCTATTATTTTCTTAACACTTCTTTAGTCATCCCGATTAGTGTCCCCTAACACTCAAGACAATAGGGAAGGGCTGTCATCTCATCATCTCATGTCACCAAAAAAGAATCTGAAACTTAGATGGGGTTAAGACACTAAATCACTTTGAGGGCAGAGACCAGATCCAAGAGGCTCCCTCCGGACTCTCATGCCTGAGGGCACTGAGGCCCCCAGAGGGCAGGGGTGGTAGAGGCAACATGAGAGTCCACACCAGGGCCATACACCATATTTTAGCAGCACTTTTACTTCTACATCCAAACTCCCTGGGTCCTCACAATAGCCCTGTGAGGTAGGAAGGGCAGTAAGGTTTCAGAGATCCCCATTTACAGATGAGGATGCTGAGGCACAGAGAGGTGAAATGACTTGCCCAAGGTCATACAACCAACAGTGTAGAAGGCCCCAAACCAGCATTCCTCTGGCAGTTCCTACATCTTCTCCATTCCCTCTGTGTCCCCCACCCTCTCTGAATTCTGGTCAACTACAGATGGGCACTGACCCTGTGGGGCATGAGGCCAGCTCTTCCTTCTCCCCACTTCCTGGCTGCACAAAGGGCCTAGTAGGTTCCAGGGCAAGAGTGGAGCTATGCATGGTCCATGAATGCATCGTGATAAAGGTAGGTACACATTGTGGGCATATGTATGTCCTACATTAAAGACAAAGGCTCCCCTAACCCAAGTCCCCAAGGCAGTTTTTCAAGTGCCCGCCCCTGTGCCTCTCTCATCCCACAGAGCCACAGTGAGTGTCCTCAGCAGACAAAGGAGCCATAGGCATCTGCCTCTGGCACTGAGCTGCTCTAGTAGACAGGTCTTACCAGGTCTTCAGACCCCATCACATAGACACAGTGCTTCCACAGCTTGACTGGGGCCCTGGGCCACACCCCCAATAACAAACAACCGGGGCCCAGCCTGTAGGCTAGAGCAGGAGCAGCGGGCTGTGGGCATGGCAGGCAGTGCCTCCCAGCGCCGCCGAGCAAGGCTGAAACTCTCCACGGATCCCAGAGGGCATGGCTGGTTTCCTGCAGGAAGAAAACAGAAATCTATAAGAGGCACAGGCTCTAAGACCTCCAATCCCTTTTGCTCCCTGAGCCAAGAGAATAGCCCAGTAGTTATCACCCCAGGATGAGGTGTCAGTGCCCTGTGGCTTCCTCACTGTCCCTGTTTATCATTTGTTCATTTATTCATTTATGTTTCTGTTTGTCCACTTGGCTTGGCACTCAGTGGTCACTGGTCTTGCTTCTGTCTCTTAAGCCCCTGCTGGTACAGAGCCCTTAGTTAGGCACCAGGGGATAATCTGAGAGCTAGGCCAGACAAACTATATCCTGCCTGCTTCATTGGTAGGGAAAGGAGCTCACAAAGCCCTGACTCTTACCTGGAGCCTGGAGAACAGAAGGTGGTGCTCATCCTGGGGCCTACTCTTTCCTATCTTGGGCCTCCCTCTTTTCCGTAGCCCCACAGAAACTTACCAAGGCCCCCAATGGCCACAATATGGCCCCCGAGGGAGCCGACCACAAAGTCAGCCCTCTTATCTCTCATGCGCAGGCTTCTAGGCAGCTTGGTCCATGACCCTGCAGAAGAGGGGAGGTCAGATCTAATCACATACCCAATATGCCCCTCCATCCCATGGAGAGTGGGAGGACAGCCCAGGATAGCCACTGCTCACCATGCTCCAGGTCAAACATCTCCACAGTGTTGACAAAGTGTGGGCGAGAGTAGAAGTTGTGGGGCCCAGGTTGCTGCAAGCCACCCAGGCTAAAGACACTGCCTTCAGCCATGGCACAGCCAGCAAAGGCCCTGCGGCTAGGAAGACTTGGGTGCCGGGTCCAGGTGCGGGCCTCCAGATCAAAGGCTTCAAAAGCAGTCACCGGGAGCTTGCCTTGGCGGCCCCCTGTCAATAAATTAGAGTACCTAGGAGGTATCCCAAAAGGCTTGGTGGGATCTTCACTCACCAGGTTGCTGATCTGCCTGGCCCAGCTTTCCATACCCAGTGCTGTGCATACTTGCACATGGATATTCCGCCCCACAGACCCTCAGGCATTGGGGTTTGGTTTTCCAATCCCCAAAGAACTCCCAGAGATCAGAGCCTTAGAGCAGGCATGGATCATCCCAGCAAAGCTTTTCTTGTTTTGCTATCCTTGACTGAGCCTGATCCCTACCCCAGCCAATCTATGGGGATGATGACTTGTGGACTCTGAGCCCCTTTCTCATATCTCCCAGAGGCCTTACCCAACACATAGATCTTGTTCCCGTGCAGGAAGGTGGAGGCCCCGTAGCAGGGTGTGGGCATGGAGGGTAGCGAAAGCCAGCAGTCCCGGCGGGGTTCATACACCCGTACCTGGGCCTGGGGTGCTGTATCAGGGCCCATTCCCCCCAGAGCATACACCATACCATCTGCATAGAAAAGAGTAGTTCAGACTGCACCCCAGCCTCGCCAGGGCACCCCACCATAATGCTGCCCTGGTCAGGGATGGAGACAATGTGTTTGTGGCGCTTGTCTGCAGCAAAAGAAACCTTGCTGCCTGCCTAGTGTGGGGGCTGGGAGAGCTGGGATTCCCATTCTGGCCAGGGCCCCTCTGAATGAAGAGCAGGAGGCAGCTGATCTAATTATAATCCGGTCTCTGTCTCCCTGGAGACACTATGGCAACAGAGCCTGCCATCCAAGCAGACCTGTGGTCAGACCTGGAAGCCACAAGGTGGGGGTTCCCCTGGGGAGAGGAGGTCGTGGGATGGCTTAAGCCAGGGGTGGGGAGGATGCATATGGGGACCTGCTCAGCATGAAGTTCAGTCTAGGAAATGGCTCTGGAGGTTCACCTTAACCCTGCACATGCCTCAGTCAGAAGGGCTAGGAGAGGAGCTTGGACCTGCAGGGTAAAGGGTCTAGTCACAAGCCTTCTCACCCTGGGACACCTGCCAGTACTTTTGCACCACAGTCTTTTTTGTCTGTGTGTGTCCACCCACCATCATGGTATGCACCACACTCTTAAACTAGAGCAGGTTCTTGCCCTCTGTTAGGCCCTTAGGGTCAGCTAGGGGCATGTTTGAGAGCCTTGGGATGAAGAGCCAGTCAGCTAGGGGCTTGTAGCAACTATGTCCCCAAGTCAGGTTGGTCTTCATCCACATCAAGCTCCCTGGTAAGTGAGGAAGGAGGAAAGGAGTCTAAGCACTTCCCCGGCTCTGAGCCAAGGCCCTGCTCCTTTCCCCCACCCCAGACTATAACCCCCAAAGTCATTAGGCCATCCTGTCCCTTGTCACTTACAAATGAGGAATGATGTAGGAAGGTGGCTGGGGCCTCCTATCATCTTGGGGGTTAACCTGGGCTCTGCCTCCCACCTCATAGCCAGAAAAGGCAGCTAATAGAAGGCTGCTAAAAGACCAGCTCAGAGCTAAGTTGAAGATGATACAGGAGAAAGGCCATGTCCAGGACATCCATGCAAAAATTACAGTTCTTATTTAATCTTTGAGGTTAAGGAACTAAGTCAAGAGAGAATGGAGGATATTGGGGCACCTGAGAGGCCTTTCTTGGGAGGCCACTCACCTCTCTCCACAGTTGCCACCCCCATGGCAGCTTGAGGGAGGGTGGCACGACGCTCCCAGCGGCCCTCATCAGCCAGGAAGGCCTCCACAGCAGCTACTGGACTCTGGACCTCATCCACACCGCCTACCACTAGCACCTGTTTGCCCAGAACCACAGCAGCTGCACCAGCCCGGGCAGTGGGCAGGGGCGCCAGTGCCAGCCATGTGTGGGAGGCCATGTCCAGTGTTTCAGCAGTGTCCAGGGGCAGTCCAGCCTGGCCACAGCCCCCAAACACCAGCAGGTGCCCATCTTGGTGTGCCACTGTGCCATATACCCGGCAAGTGGGCATGGGGGGGAAAACCTGCCAAACAAAGGCCCGGCTACCTCCTGCAGCCATGGCATTCACCATTAGTGGCAAGCCATGCTATCTGCTCAGGCTGCAAGCCTCACTGGGGAAGCATGATAGGGCCTCATGTTAATTCTGCCAGGGCCACGAGGGGATGTCTGACCAGTCCAGAGGCCTTGCCTTCACCTGGAGGAGAGAGGTAAAACAAAGAGTCAGCACCACTGACCATCCCCTCAGGAAACAGATTAGCAGCCTGTACCTGACATCAGGGCTAGCCCAAAATCACTGATGGAAAAGCAGGGGAAGATCCAGTCCCTCAGGCTAGGGAGTGAGGCCCTGAGGAGGCCCTCCTGGACTGGAAAGACCTCAGATACTCAGGAAACTTCCCTCTTTCCTATAAGGCCATGAGAGATTCTCCTCCCCTCCCACTGATCTAATTACTTGGAGCAACTGGGTCAAATCTGGATCTAGATGGGAGTTAAGGTAACTAGAACAGGACTCTCCATCCCAGGCCTCTTCCTTTCCCTTCAACAATCCTCACTCTGGGCTCAGCCACCGTAGCACAGTGGTTACGGCACCAGCCACATACACCGAAGGTGGCAGGTTTGAGCCCAGCCCTGGTCAGCTAACCAACAATGACAACTGCAACAACAAAAAAAATATAGCTGGGCGTTGTGGCAGGCACCTGTGGTCCCAGCTGCATGGGAGGCCAAGGCAAGAGAATTGCTTGAGCCCAAGAGTTTGAGGTTGCTGTGAGCTGTGACGCCATAGCACTCTACCTAGGGTGACATGGTGAGACTCTGTCTCAAGAAAAAAAAAGAAAAAAAAATCCTCACTCTGGTTCTGCATTAGTCCTACTTTTATCCTCTCCTTACTGGCTCCCAGTGTGCCCTGGGCAACCTGGGATCCAGCCATCAAGGTTCCCACACTACTATCAGGGGCCAAACTCCTGGGTATCCTTAAAACACCCTTGGAACCCATTCCACAGGGTTCATCCATTCCTACCAGCAAAAGGCCAGGGTCAAGGGTATCTGGTGTGGAGGCTAAACACCAGGGTTCCACACTTTTCCCTTAAGGTCCACTCCCCCCCAGGGGTTTGCTCATGTCCAGCCCTGAGAGGCCAGACTCCCTGGTGTCCTGATTTGGGGATCCCATGAGCACAGGACTCTAGGTTCAGAGTCCAGGGCTTTATCAGCAAGAATGAACAGCTAGACATTGGGTCCTCTCATGACAGATCCTCCAAGTTCCCCAGTCTTCCCTTTCCCTCTGGGGCTACACTCCTGGACCTCTGGCAAGAGGGCCTCCTAGCCTCAAACTTCCAGCTCACAGAGGCAGGGAGCACAGGGTATGGGCGAGACAGCTTGGGTTCTGCGCCCCGCGCCCCAAACTTCCCCTGAGCACTGCTCCCGCTAGACTCACCAGCTAGGGCTCCGGTGCCGCCAGGGCACGGGGTCTGTCGTTCCACCTCCGCTGACGCCGAATCTGTCTGGGGGTGAAGCCAGGATCCAGCGGGGCTCCCACTCGGCTTCAGCGCGGGGCGGGGCTGAATCAAGTCCGCCCCACCTACCCACCCACCCCCCGCCCCTCCGACTCAGAGAAACCTCCTCCCGCCTTAACCCTGCACATGCCACGGCCAGAGCAGGGCACTCCGACCCCGGATCACATATAAACCGACACGTGGACACTGGGCCTACCAGGATTTAGGGGCCGACCTGGGTGGGGGTAGAAATGAGGCAGTGATGAGCTACACAAAATGTGTATGGCGAGGGGTCGTTCTGAGCTGGACCCGGCCTGCATACGTCATCTATAAAGCCGACCAGCCCAACCTACCGCAGGAGAGGCCTGCGCCCCAAGCTCCCAGGAGACCAGCGACGGGCTTCTCGGCGGCGCCCCCTGGAGGGCACTCGGCATGAGTCCTGGGCCTCTGATAGGGATGACCAGGCAGAAAGGGTACAGAATAGGTCTTATAGAGCACACTGAGGCTATTGGAGGGTGGAGGAGCAGACAGTGCCAGCCTCAGGGCCCAAAAGGCTCTTCCACAAGTCTGGGGTTGGGGGAATTCTTGGAGGGAGGGGTAACTCTGAGCAAGGGATGAACTAGAAGAGTTCATCTAGCGGAACTCTGAGGTGGGTCTATAGCCTCATCCTGTAGTGCCTGAGACCTGAGCTACTCTGTAGTCCAAGGTTCTTTTTAACTGTCCATCTTTAGAGTCCTGGGCATGTCTCTAGCCAACTCTGGGCTCAGGCCAGAGCTAATTCTTGTGACAGGGGCCTACTAACCTCAGACCCATATCCTGGCCCTGCCTCTCTTCTGAGCATTCAGAGTATGAGCTAAGTCTTCGAAATGAGGGCTCACTTGTACTGGTACCAGGGGAAAGAGGTCCTTTCAGTTGTCTGTCTGTCTTGTCCCCCTTTCATGGACAGAGCTTGTCTTGGTTTCCCCAAAGCAGACCTGGAGACAAAGATAGAAGTACATATAGTTAGTGTGGGAGGTAATTCCAGGGCACCAGCAGTGGCAGGGAGACAAGGAAAGCAACCAGTAAAGAAGGTATCATCAAGGGCATTGCCTGTGGCTCAGTGTGCAGGGCGCTGGCCCCATATACTGAGGGTGGCGGGTTCGAACCTGGCCCCAGCCAGCTAAAACAGCAGTGGTAACTGCAACAAAAAATAGCTGGGTGTTGTGGCGGGCACCTGTAGTCCCAGCTACTTGGGAGGCTGAGGCAAGAGAATCACTTAAGCCTGAGTTGGAGGTTGCTGTGAGCTGTGATGCCATGGCACTCTACCCAGGGCGACAGCTTGAGGCTCTGTCTCAAAAGAAAAAAAGGAATCATCAAGCAAGTTACCATTATAAGCAACTGGGACCAAATCCTGCTGGGGATTCTGGAAGCCAGTGTAGAACATGGGCCCACAGAGCAGAAGAATTGAGGTGCTCATTCTCAAATCCCCATCAGTCATGAGTTGAGAGCTGTTGAAGGGCATTAATTCCCTGGCCTCCCTGACTTCTGACCTCCCCAGAGTGTGGGTAAATCCTTACCAAACACCTTTCAGGGGCTGGAAGTTGGAGTCAGAGGGCCTAGACAGAAAGGGTGGTGGTCCCAAGGCTGGTTATAGACTGCATAGACCCTGACTAGAACACCTCCAACCTCCTATTCCACTTCACCTGGGACTTGCCACTCACTTGGGGCACTGGTGTTAACTCCCAATGGGATGCTCATTCTGCCCTGAAGACCTCTTTACATTTACCACTGTTCTCTTTCCAAGCTCTCTCCCTCTCCTTTCCAGCAATTAAGCACTTACAAGCTGCCTACCTTTAGATACGATACTTCCCAGCACCCCAAGACTGTCACCCCTTCTTTCTCTTCAAACTCTTTTTTTTTTTTGGTAGAGACAGAGTCTCACTTTTTCGCCCTCGGTAGAGTGCAGCGGAGTCGCTCCTGCAACCTCCAACTCCTGGGCTTAGGCAATTCTTCTGCCTCAGCCTCCCAAGTAGCTGGGACTACAGGCGCCCGCCACAACGCCCGGCTATTTTTTGTTGCAGTTTGGCCGGGGCTGGGTTTGAACCCGCCACCCTCGGTATATGGGGCCGGCGCCCCACTCACTGAGCCACAGGCGCCTCCCTCTCTTCAAATTCTTGAAGCCACTTACCCTCACAGGCTCCACCTCCTTATTACCTGCCACCTCAGTCTGCTGCCACTGCTCCCCCCAAATTGCTCTTCCAAGAGGCACCATAGAATACCATATAGCTAAAACTAGGGGGTCCCTGTGGTCCTTGTCTCAACTAAAATCTCGCTGCATTTTCAAAATTTCACTCTGTGTGACCTCAGTTTTCTCCCCTTGCTTGTCCTGCCTCTTGAAATCATTTTTGGGCCCAGCTTCCTCTCTCTCGCTCTTGAGCAGTTCCTCAAAATTCAACATTGATCTTAGCACTCTGGGAGGCCAAGATCAGAGAATCCTTTGAGCTCAGGAGTTCAAGACCAGCCTAAGCAAGAGTGAGACCTCATCACTACTAAAAATAGGAAACTTAGCCAGGCATTGTGACAGGCACCTGTAGTCCTAGCTACTTTTGGAGGCTAAGGCAGGAGGATCATTTGAACTCAAGAGTCTGAGGTTGTTATGAGCTAGGCTGATGCCCTGGCACTCTAGCCTGGGCAACAGAGTGAGACTATCTAAAAAAAATTCAACATTGGCTTTCCTCCCTGGCATAATTACCCCGCCCCCTCTTGGGGCACTCCCCTCCCAAGCCACTATCACTAATATCTAGATCTCCATCAGATCTCTCTGCTCAGGTGAAGGTGGGTCCAGGGTCCACTTAGGGCTATACAAGATGCCAACCTGAGAGCAAGGGATAGATCTTCGAATCATCCTATATTCTCTCTCCACTTTATCCTATATGGTCCCAGTTATGCCTATAGGGTCAGCATCCACCAAAGTCAAAGTCAAAGCAGGTTGTGTGCTCTAATGAGTGTTCCCAAAGATTTCTATTTGGGGCATACTGGGCACCAGAAGGAAGAAGGGTGACCCTTCTCCCTTCTCAGGGACTAAGTACCCCAATCTCTACCGCCATGCTCTCCTCAGTTCTTATATCTGGAAGAGACATACCCAGAGCATAGACTTACCCTTCTTCTTCCTCCATTTTGCCCTGACCTTTTGGCTGGACATCAGAGGAGGAGGATCTTCTTTTCAGTGCATACCTGGGTTGGTTCCATCTCTGGTGGCTGGGGTTTACCATTTCATGGAAGTGGCTTCTGTTGACATAGCTGAAGCTCACATGCACACAGGAGGCCAACACTGCTGGCTTCAGAGAAGCCGTAGAAGACATTGGAGTAGATCAGTCCTGAAAGAGGACAGCCAACCCTCAACCATGGACAGGGCCAGGGAAAGGGGTCATCCACAGTTGGGGGCTAGGAGCATTAAGGAAGGACTTCCTGCTTCTACTCCATACTTGAGACCCCACTCTTTCTTTCTCCGTAACAGGACTAGAGGCTAGAAACACTGACCCTGGAGGATCAGGAGATTTTGTAGTTCCTATCGGATACCCTGGCTATGTTTGAAGACACTGAGGAGGGCGGTGCCTGTGGCTCAGTGAGTGGGGTGCCAGCTCCATATATCGAGGGTGGCGGGTTCAAACCCAGCCCCGACAGCAACAACAACAAAAAAAATAACTGAGTATTGTGGTGGGCACCTGTCGTCCCAGTTAGTTGGGAGGGTAAGGCAAGAGAATCACCTAAGCCCGAAAGCTGGAGGTTGCTGTGAGATGTGATGCCACAGCACTCTA